GGGCTGTCGCGGGGGGGGGGGGGGGTGGGAGCAACGGCCCAGCAGGCTGCCTGGCCTCATCCTTTTCCTCTCCTCAGATCTCAGGAACCCAGAGCTGGTGTCACCCTTCCGCAGCGACAGTCCGGTGCCCGCAGCCCCCACGCCCAGCAATGCCGCCAGGGAGCTGGCCACGGACCCCGAGCTGGAGAAGAAGCTGCTGCAGCACCTCTCCGACCTGGGACTGGCTCTGCCCACTGATGCCCTCTCCATCTGCCTGGCCACCTTTTCCTCTCCTCAGATCTCAGGAACCCAGAGCTGGTGTCACCCTTCCGCAGCGACAGTCCGGTGCCCGCAGCCCCCACGCCCAGCAATGCCGCCAGGGAGCTGGCCACGGACCCCGAGCTGGAGAAGAAGCTGCTGCAGCACCTCTCCGACCTGGGACTGGCTCTGCCCACTGATGCCCTCTCCATCTGCCTGGCCATCTCTACGGTGAGAGCCCAGCCCCATTCCCCTGCACCCCCACTGATGCTGCAGAGCCCTCTTCCCCATCTCCTGGGCTGTTCCCTCCTTCCCCAGCTCAGGAGATCCACTGACGTGCTAACCCCTCTCTCCCTCTCTGGGGGTAACTTGGGGGGTGACTCCACACTTGCCCTGCCCCACCACCCTGTGTGTCCTGCAGCCAGAGGCGCCCGTCACCCAGCGCAGCGTGGAGGGCCTTCTACAGAAGTTTGCGGCGCAGGAGTTGATCGAGGTGCGCCGGGGGCTGTTGCAGGACGATGAGGAGCAGCCCACGCTGGTCACTTACGCTGACCACTCCAAGCTCTCAGCCATGATGGGCGCCGTGGCAGAGCGCAAGGGCCCTGCAGAGCAGGGCAGCACTGGGGGCCAGAAGCGATGGGCAGAGCAGGAGACTGGGGGTGCTGTTTCTTCCCCCGCCGGCACTGCTCCCTCTGCCTCAGCCGCCTTGGAGCCGGCCAAGGAGCCGGCCAAGAAGTCTCGGAAGCAGGCATCCGACCTGGACCTGGAGATTGAGAGCCTGTTGAGCCAACAGTCCACCAAGGAGCAGCAGAGTAAGAAGGTACCAGCCGGACACCTGGGTCCCACCCTGGCCATTGGATGGGGATCCAATGCTGGGTCCTCTCCCTGCTCAGGTGGGAGGGCAGGGGGCACAGAGCCAGGGGACTTTCTTGCTCTGGCTCTACAGTGAGTGGGATCTAGAGCTGGGAGCCCAGTCTCCTGGGTTCTCTCCCAACACCTGGGAGCAGAGTGGGATGGGGGGGAAGGGAACCCCAGACTCCTGGGTTCTTCTCCTTGCTCTCCCACCCCCCAGGTGAGCCAGGAGATCCTGGAGCTGCTGAACACCACAACGCTCTGGGAAGGGGGGGGTTGGTGGGTTAGAGCCGGGGCGCCTGGATTCTCTGCAGCTCTGGGAAGGGGGGGGTTGGTGGGTTAGAGCCGGGGCGCCTGGATTCTCTGCAGCTCTGGGAAGGGGGGGGTTGGTGGGTTAGAGCCGGGGCGCCTGGATTCTCTGCAGCTCTGGGAAGGGGGGGGTTGGTGGGTTAGAGCCGGGGCGCCTGGATTCTCTGCAGCTCTGGGAAGGGGGGGGTTGGTGGGTTAGAGCCGGGGCGCCTGGATTCTCTGCAGCTCTGGGAAGGGGGGGGTTGGTGGGTTAGAGCCGGGGCGCCTGGATTCTCTGCAGCTCTGGGAAGGGGGGGGTTGGTGGGTTAGAGCCGGGGCGCCTGGATTCTCTGCAGCTCTGGGAAGGGGGGGGTTGGTGGGTTAGAGCCGGGGCGCCTGGATTCTCTGCAGCTCTGGGAAGGGGGGGGTTGGTGGGTTAGAGCCGGGGCGCCTGGATTCTCTGCAGCTCTGGGAAGGGGGGGGTTGGTGGGTTAGAGCCGGGGCGCCTGGATTCTCTGCAGCTCTGGGAAGGGGGGGGTTGGTGGGTTAGAGCCGGGGCGCCTGGATTCTCTGCAGCTCTGGGAAGGGGGGGGTTGGTGGGTTAGAGCCGGGGCGCCTGGATTCTCTGCAGCTCTGGGAAGGGGGGGGTTGGTGGGTTAGAGCCGGGGCGCCTGGATTCTCTGCAGCTCTGGGAAGGGGGGGGTTGGTGGGTTAGAGCCGGGGCGCCTGGATTCTCTGCAGCTCTGGGAAGGGGGGGGTTGGTGGGTTAGAGCCGGGGCGCCTGGATTCTCTGCAGCTCTGGGAAGGGGGGGGTTGGTGGGTTAGAGCCGGGGCGCCTGGATTCTCTGCAGCTCTGGGAAGGGGGGGGTTGGTGGGTTAGAGCCGGGGCGCCTGGATTCTCTGCAGCTCTGGGAAGGGGGGGGTTGGTGGGTTAGAGCCGGGGCGCCTGGATTCTCTGCAGCTCTGGGAAGGGGGGGGTTGGTGGGTTAGAGCCGGGGCGCCTGGATTCTCTGCAGCTCTGGGAAGGGGGGGGTTGGTGGGTTAGAGCCGGGGCGCCTGGATTCTCTGCAGCTCTGGGAAGGGGGGGGTTGGTGGGTTAGAGCCGGGGCGCCTGGATTCTCTGCAGCTCTGGGAAGGGGGGGGTTGGTGGGTTAGAGCCGGGGCGCCTGGATTCTCTGCAGCTCTGGGAAGGGGGGGGTTGGTGGGTTAGAGCCGGGGCGCCTGGATTCTCTGCAGCTCTGGGAAGGGGGGGGTTGGTGGGTTAGAGCCGGGGCGCCTGGATTCTCTGCAGCTCTGGGAAGGGGGGGGTTGGTGGGTTAGAGCCGGGGCGCCTGGATTCTCTGCAGCTCTGGGAAGGGGGGGGTTGGTGGGTTAGAGCCGGGGCGCCTGGATTCTCTGCAGCTCTGGGAAGGGGGGGGTTGGTGGGTTAGAGCCGGGGCGCCTGGATTCTCTGCAGCTCTGGGAAGGGGGGGGTTGGTGGGTTAGAGCCGGGGCGCCTGGATTCTCTGCAGCTCTGGGAAGGGGGGGGTTGGTGGGTTAGAGCCGGGGCGCCTGGATTCTCTGCAGCTCTGGGAAGGGGGGGGTTGGTGGGTTAGAGCCGGGGCGCCTGGATTCTCTGCAGCTCTGGGAAGGGGGGGGTTGGTGGGTTAGAGCCGGGGCGCCTGGATTCTCTGCAGCTCTGGGAAGGGGGGGGTTGGTGGGTTAGAGCCGGGGCGCCTGGATTCTCTGCAGCTCTGGGAAGGGGGGGGTTGGTGGGTTAGAGCCGGGGCGCCTGGATTCTCTGCAGCTCTGGGAAGGGGGGGGTTGGTGGGTTAGAGCCGGGGCGCCTGGATTCTCTGCAGCTCTGGGAAGGGGGGGGTTGGTGGGTTAGAGCCGGGGCGCCTGGATTCTCTGCAGCTCTGGGAAGGGGGGGGTTGGTGGGTTAGAGCCGGTTCTCTCCCATCTCTAGGAGGGAGTGGGGCTGGTGGGCTTGGGCCCTGGGCTCTGGGAGGGGAGAGGTCCAGCTGGGCGAAGGGCAGGGTCGATAACCCGGACACCTGGGTTCCACGTCCGTGTATCTTTCCCTTCCCCGCGTCTGCCCAGGCGCATTATTAACAAGCACACAGATGAGTCCCTGGGCGACTGCTCCTTCCTCAACACCTGCTTCCACATGGACACCTGCAAGTACGTGCACTATGAGATCGACGCCTGCGCTGACCTAGCGGCCCCCGGGGGCCACGAGCACAACCCTGGGCAGGAACTGGCGCTGCCCCAGGCAGTGGGCGGGGACCCCAGCATCGACCGCCTCTTCCCCCCACAGGTACCATGAGCGCAGCAAGTAGGGAGGGGTGGGACCGGCAGTAGGGCTGGGGTCATGGGAGGCTGATGGGGGAAGGCATGGGGGGCCTTGGGCACTGCCCCCCACCCACTGTGGGTCTGTTGTACCCGGAGAGCAGGATGTGGGGGGATGCTGGAGCCAGAGTGGAGCTGTCAGGTCGCTGGGGGCAGGTTTGAAGGGTGGGGGGCTGATAAACAGGGTTGTGGGATGAAGTGGCTCTGGGGGTCCCATTAGGGGCAGGGAGCCTGACACATGCCTGTGGCCCCATCAGCAGCCTGAGCCATTTTGGGAGATGGAGGCCCTGGGGGCGTCTGACACCCCAGCAGCAGCCTGGGGCTGGGCTAGAGGTTCCCGTTTTGTCTCTGACACGCACCCCCCTGCAGTGGATCTGCTGTGACATCCGCTACCTGGACGTCAGCATCCTGGGGAAGTTCGCAGTGGTCATGGCCGACCCACCCTGGGACATCCACATGGAGCTGCCCTACGGCACCCTGACCGACGACGAAATGCGGCGCCTCAACATCCCGGTGCTGCAGGACGAAGGCTTCCTCTTCCTCTGGGTCACTGGTCGGTACGCGGGGGAGGCCCTGGCTGAGCGGGGTCCGGTCCCAGGCGGGGCTGGGCACTGGCATTGGGGCAGATGCGGCTTTGGGGATCCCTGGTGGAGGGTGGCTCTGGAGCCCTTCAGCATCTCACCCCTCACTCTCCCCACAGGGCCATGGAGCTGGGCCGCGAGTACGAAGGCTTCCTCTTCCTCTGGGTCACTGGTCGGTACGCGGGGGAGGCCCTGGCTGAGCGGGGTCCGGTCCCAGGCGGGGCTGGGCACTGGCATTGGGGCAGATGCGGCTTTGGGGATCCCTGGTGGAGGGTGGCTCTGGAGCCCTTCAGCATCTCACCCCTCACTCTCCCCACAGGGCCATGGAGCTGGGCCGCGAGTGCCTCAATCTCTGGGGGTGAGTGAGTCATTGCCCCCTCTCCCCCCCC